GAAACAATGGGGTGGGGTACAGACTAGGGGTGGGGTGCAGTGCAGATGGACGTCGTGCGTAAACCAGAGACGCGTCCGACGCGCGCGTCTTTCGCGTGCAGGCTCAGGCTGTGCAAGGCATCTTGCTTCAGACGCCCATCATCCGGCCTGCTGGGATGTCCGTGAACTACCCGTAGTGCATTCACATCTGGCTCAGTCATAAGTCCCTTCTGTGTCGCAATAGCCAAATGGCGACATCTTCTTCCGCGCCGTATCTGTTCTCTTTTCCCTATGGAAAACTGCCGCAGACAACGCGGGGAGAACATATCCGCAGGCTCTACGATGTCATGATGCTCTCAGTGAACTCCGGGAACTATGACCGTGCTCGGAAAGCCTACGCTATCTTGGTGCGATGTCGTGAGGTCAAGTGGGCCAAACTCTGGCGGCTCGGCATGTTCCTTCTTTCGAAGTGCGGCGATGAGCGTCGAGACGTTGAATATCTGCGTGCGATGTTACTTCAACATCCGGATGAGGTGACATCTCTCTGACTTTCCACGACTAAGGCGACCCTGACCCATTTCCTGGTAGGCCGAAGCTATCATGCAAGAGCTCGTGCTGACTCTGACCGCCAACGATCGTGAACGGGATGCTATGGACGAGTTAGAACTGTAAGCATCCCAGAATTCTGTCTTTGTCAATCTCACGATGACCTCGCTTGCAGATACCTTCCATCGTTCCCGTACCATGACAATGCCGCGCTGCATCTATACGCTGGTATGATCTCCCTTCATTTGGCTCAAGGTACACATCTCGAATAATGTGATAGAACCCTGTCTAACCGTACCCATAGGCGAGCATACTATCGATAAGGCGAAGATACGCTCCGCCCAAGGCTACCTTGAACGTGCTAAACAACTCCAACCTGAGGGGGAAATTGCGCAAGCGTGGCTCGACAAGTCCGCCGAGTTGCTCGAAAGCGCGGACAACAGGGATACTGGTACACATGTAGACACGGACGAAGATGACGAGGATGTCGATGGCGATGTAAGCAGTACGGGCCGTCGTGCGTCGAAACGGGTGCGAAGTTGATTACATCGGTTGAGGACGTGGCCCTGCTATATCTTCATTGTCCTCAGTGCACTCAATGGCACGGGTGTTATGCATCTAACGACAGTATCTTAAGGCGGGCCATCGTCTTCCAACGACCCGCCTGCGAGCATCAAGCGAACATGCCAGCGGAGATTAATTGCCGACGAAGTTGACACGGTCACATGAGTTCGTTTGCCCGACCTCGAGAAATAATCGGACACTGTTCTGTGGTGTCGGCGTCATTGCTCTGTCAATGGCTTCTGATCCGTAACAAGCATAATACTGACCACGCGTGCGCAAGGAGACGCTCATGAAGAGAGTCTCGGCATGTCCGCGCTTAACAGCCACAAAGCGCTATAAAGTGCCGCGATTGGACGGGAATTCCGCCGCCGCCTAAGAATATGGAGACAAGGGTGCGACATCCCCGTCAACCCAGTACTTCAAATACAACCCAAGTACAAGACAAATACACATTGTTCATTGAGTCCGGGTATGTGAGTAAGTATACAACGGGATCTTCGCGATTCAATAGATAAGCAGTTGATTCGTCCCGAGCATCATCTAACATTCATAGCGTGAAGCTGTCCAGCCAGTCTCTCCAACAGGCAGCCCGCTCTGGCATCTATCCAATGTTCAACTCTTGGTCCAACCTCCTCGCTAACTCGGCGTCCTTTTCCTCCTGCTCCCGCCTGGCACGATCAGCCGCCTCCAAGCGTGCTTGCATCTCACGCGCCGCGACCTCACCCGGGTCAACCCTCGGCACAGCAGGTACGGATGCTGGCGCTGGGGCGGATACTGCAGGTGGCACGTATGAGGGCACGCGTCCGGTCGTAGGCGGACTACCGGGCAGAGGTAAGGGCGTCTGGTACCGTTTCTCGAGGTACGGATCGGGTAGATCGTTCGAGCTCGCACGCGAGGGCACCCGGGGTGGTTGACCGTACTGACTAGGGTTGTACCCATACCCGCGGCCAGCAGGTGGAGGTCCGTAGAACCCTCCATGTGGACCATTGTACCCCTGCTGTGGCGGCGGCGAAGAGTAGTTCGCTGGCGGAGTGGAGTAGTTCGGCGTCGGTGTCGGGAAGTGGAACCCTGCGGGTGGCGTCGAAGTACTGTGCGATGGAGCGGTGGGATAGGCCCCTGGAGGTTGCGGAGTCTGCGATTGGGGCGGGTAAGAGGCAGGAGGTTGAGCTGCGTGCGATTGAGCGGGAGGATAACCCCCTGGTGCAGTTCCTGCGTGGGTGGGTTGATGTGGCGCGTATTGCTGCTGTTGCGAAGCCAACGAGCTGAAAGACGCCGTCCGGCCATGAGTTTGCGCGTGGGCAGGCGGCGAAGGTGGCCCTTGCGATGGTGTGTGATACGGCGGGTACGGCGACACGTACGTGTCCGCCTGTGCGGGCGGAAGCGGCGGCGATGATGGCGCTGAGGTCGAGCCGGCATGATACGGAGGATATGATGAGACGTAAGGTTGTGCAGAAGGTTGAGGGGATTGATATGTCGCGGGCTGCGGCTTCTGGTGCTGAGGCTGCTGGAACGGATGGGGATTCGGGTTGTATTGCGTTGGGGTGGGTAGCTCCGGCTCGAGGTCGGGCCCAGCATAGCTGACAGGTCTTTCGCTCGGTGCATAGCTCATCGGGCGAGCAGTAGGCGCAACTGTTGATTGCACACGGGGCCGCTGTGCTGCACCGGCCCCGGCACGTAGGATCGCGGGCACGGCCTGTGGTGGCGCCGAGCTTGATTGAACTGGGAGCGGGGGTAACGCGGCGTCTTTGTGTGCGGGCGAGCCAGAGTGGGATCGACTATTGGGCACGGCGAGATGCTGTGGATGTGGAGGAGGTGAAGCTGATTGGGAGCTATGCGACCCCCGATGCTGCTGTGGCGGTCGGTACTGTTGTGTGTCTGCTGGCCGTGATAGGCGCTGAGCGGGAGTGAACTATGGCTGATGTCAACATCTCGTCAAATCGGGTAAGTGAGTAGACACAAAGCATACCTTCGACTTGCGCCTATTCAGCGGCGCAGGTCCGGCGGAGAAGAATGTCATCTCGAGGTAGAGTTCGCCGCGCTGTGTATCCCCGATCTTGAGCGGCACCCAGTCGTCGAACTCGCCAGTCCTCAATGTTTCGGAAATGTCGACCTCGCCCTCGCCGAGCAGCAGATCATCCTTCTTCTCCTTCGAGTACACCTTCACCTTCAGTGTCCGGTTCCGCGCATCATCAGCAGCCATAATTGGAAACCGCATCTCCTCGTCCCAGACCGGGTGTTGTCCGCCCTTCGGATCCGGCGGCGTCTTCTGTGTCTGGCTCGCGAGGCTCAGAACAGCGTAGGGATCCTGCTTGTAGAACTTGTGGTTGTCGATAAGGTTCTGCGCCTTGAGCACCACGACCACCATTGTGCCTAGAATAGAGACCTCGCCGCCACCGACCATGGCGTCAAGTGCAGATAATGTGATAGACGAGAGTTAGAGTGTCTGGACAGAGAGTCGGTTGACAGTGAGCCAGTGGATTGCGCCCAAGAGTGCGATGTCGGGATGAAAGTTTGAGGCAGACTTGGCTGCGGGTGGGGAGATGGAAGTGGCGATATGCGTCACCGCGCCTCAAGTTGATCTTCTTGTGCTCTTGAACAGACACGGCCACCACCACCGCCTCCGCTCGGCGTATATACACCACAGCCACCTAGCACTCAAATTTCATGGATGCTTTCTCAAGCCAGCCGAAGATCTTCACTGCAGTGCCTTGACGCTTCGGAATTGCGAAACCACTTCACAACTAGCACGACTGTAACCTATCTGCGCTCTCAAGGACCTTCGCGCCTATCTCCGCACAACGAACGGCCACGTTTGCAGCACACAACGTCGGTCTGTGAAAGAAGACAGCGCGCAACGGAGTAAATTAGCACAATTGCTTTACACTGCCATCGAAGTTCTCATGGCTCAATAAGACTGCATGCTGGCTTCTCCAAGAGGAATGACCTTCCATGCATCGTACTGCGCATCGCCTACTTACTGCGATCTACTGTGTCCTGTTTTCCTCACACGCGCAGACTAATTTCTCAATTCCTTTCATCAATGCAAAGCACGCCTGCGGTCCCTCCCTAACGCGTCGAAGGTGCACGATTCGTATACGACAACATGTCAGCAAGCAGGCGACTACTATCATACATTCGTTTTTGACACGGACTTGGAAGGATGGGGAGTAGAGAGGGGTCACAGACAGTACACACATAGTCCACGTGATGGTTGGAGATGCGTCGTAACGGAACGTGTAGCTACGACTAGGAAAGGATATAGATCATGAACGTCATTTTGAATACCACGCAGCCTCGCGTGCACTAGCAGCCGGTTGTCTAGGCATGGACCGGGTGCGTAAGCACGACGTTGTCCAGCTCGCGGAGCTCCTTGTGCTTGGGATAGTTCTTGTTCGACTTGTCGACGAGCCACTTGAGCTCTTCGGCCTTCGTGGGCGAGGTCGCGGGCCTGGTCCCCGACGAGCCTTTCTTACCCTCCGAAGAACTCAAATACTCCATGAGCGATGCAGCCGACCGAATCGCGAGCGCCATCGAAGTCAAGGTAGGGTTCGACGCGAAAGCAGTGGGAATGACTCCGTTCCCCGCGACGTATAGGTTCTTCGTGTTCCAGACGAGCGAGTTGTAGTCGGCCACGGACTCGGCCTTCTCGGACCTGTCTTTGTGTCAGCATCGATCCGGGTGATATGCCATATTGTTTGAACTTACTCGCGGCCCAGACGCGTAGTGCCACCAAGATGAAGAGCAAGTCCGGGAGTCATGAACTGCGGGTTGGAGCCTGATACTGCGATCAGTGAAGGTCCCATTGGTTGCAAGAAGAATCCATACCCGGGAGATAACCGCCGAGGACGTTCGCGACGTCGGTCATGCTACATGCGGCTCATGTTCAGCAGGACACTCACAGAGCAGGCAGAACACGCACTCCTTCATCATCCTGGAAGACAACCGTGCGGACTCCTCGTCGGGCACATATTCGAACGTCGGTTGAGGCATACCGTAGGCGTCATCGACTTCGTCCTCGAAAATGATCCTATTGTTGACATCTGGCTTCTGCTTACCGAAGAATCTGAGAGGTTTGGAAGCTCTCGCGTCAACTCGCAATTACTGGAATGCAGGTTCGCCACTTACCGGAGGTCCACAACGACGCGCGGGTCCACGAGCGGGCCCGCTTCTCCGTAGCTGAATGCATCGCGATGGATCTGAGTGTGCCAAGGGAACTGTAGTTCATGTTTTCAGTCAGCGATATCCATGGTCGCAGTCTCGAAGAATCACCTCTGGCGAGAACGGAATCGTGACCTGGGGCTCAGGATCGAGAAACGGGCTTGAAAGGGAGACAAGTGAGCCGCATAGCAATCTCAGAAAGACAGTAAGAGCTTACATGGGTACAGGATCGTTGGGGAACCTCTTGCGATGATCCCGAACACGCTCTTGCCACCAATCTGGATGATTCCGCGATGTCACGTCGTTCACCTTGAAGAAAGCAATCAGCAATGAGCGATATCCTCGTTGGTCACACTGTACGCACGAGTTCCTATAGAGTAAGTCAGTCGCAGGGTCAGAGGCTGGACGAGGCGTTGCGTACCTGGCGCAGTACAATCTGACAGAACGCCATCCTATCATCTCATCAGTATCGACAGCCAGGTCACACATACATGGCCACATACGGTTGCTCGGTGATGTACTTGCCCTGATTGAATAGAAGTCATGACGTTGAGCGACAATGGTTCAAGTTGAGGCCAGTATACAACAACTCACCAAGTTCGGGATGAGCACGTTCTTGTCGTCAATCTGGTCACGCATGCCGCCGAACCCAGAGTTCGCCAGGATCTGTCAGCAGTCAGTGAGTGTATGCACCCCTAATCTCAATGTGTTAGCATACCTGGGGAGTTCCCATGGCACCTGCTCGGTGTCAGTCGGAGCCGCATAGCTGGCACGTTCTCGCTCACCTGAGGCAATCACGAAGGCCTGCGCAGCGGTATGTCATCGTCAACATCGGAATCAGCGGAGCGCTCAAGCAGACGTTCACCTTGGCGTTGATCACGAAGTCAACCTTGTCTTTCTGGTCCATCACGGCAAGCAAGTCTTGCACCTCTCTGGTGACGAGGTTGATTCAAACTGTCGCAGGAACGTCGAGGAACAGCTTACACGAGACCTATATCGACGACGGAGGCGCCACCCGGCTTGGGGATCAGCTTGGTGCAGCGCGTATTGTCCAAAAGGCGGAAGACCCCTTTGCCGGGCTCTGGCACCTTCTTGAAGAACTCTGGCCCTCCATATACCTGTGAAGACCAGACCGCCAAGTTAGCCGTTGAGATAAGAGAAACAACGCCGGAGAAGGGTACGAACATTCTCGGCGGAGTGCCAACGAACGTACGGGCCATCGCCTTTCTCGCCGATGCGGTGACAAGCGAGCGGAAGAGCCTTGACGCCGCGTGCCTCGTAGTCCTTGACGCCCTTCAGGGCGTTCAGCACGACGTTGTGGCGAATGGACCGGTCGAATTCTTTGTCGCTCGTGCCTATCAGTCCACGGGCAGCCTCATACAGCAATTCCCATTCCTTGTCGTCACGCTCACGATCCTCGAAGATCCTCGGACGCTCGACATCCCTGTGGAACTCGGGAGTAGCGCAAGTCCTGCGTGCGGTATATGAATGTCAACTCGCTATAGATTCGGCGCGGAACGAACCAATGAGTGGCCATGCCGCCTACGCAGCGCGTGACGGCTTCCGCCGCAAGGTTCTTCTGGATGTCCTGGCGAGGGTTTCGGCCATGATAGATCGAGGCGCTCGCTCCTTGGTTCCTACAAAAACCAGGTGTAAGTCCGCGAAAGGGAAGATGCTAAGAATGACTGACCGTCCTCCGAATGCGGAAGGATCCAGCGTAGGCAGGTTGGTGCTGCTAGTCGGAATGGAGACGGTGGAAAGGGCACCCTGTGCTGGTTTAGACCGATGAAACGCGACGCGCATACAAGATGGCGAGTTACCTGAATGACCCTGCGGAAAAATGGTCAGCCGTACATCGCGAGCAAAAGAACAGATGTAAACTTGCCTAACGAAGGCGTCTATATCCTTGCGAAACCTGATCTCGTTCTTGTGGTGCGCGGCGGGATGGGCCGCATCCCTAGAGACAAAGGTCAATGGGCGTTCGTCATTAAGTGGGTGCACGACTACGCACTGAAGATCGCCAATATCGACCATGCAGACCTTGAGGGGATCGAGTCAGATGGACGCTCTTAGACACAAGTAGAACGAACTCACGCTGAACCCACGGTCCACGAGGAGTCGCGCGTAGGTCGCTCCAATGGGGCCCGAGCCGGCAATGAATACCTGGGCAATACAAGAACAAGTATCAGTTTACAAATTTCTTCTTGCTACGGGCGAGAGACGTACGTCGAACTGTTGGATGCCAGTCTCGGCATGAACACGATGGGGATCGAGAGGGCGTGCAGGGTCAGAGTTAGACATGCTGGGCGAAAGGCGAGGGCTAGGTTGGTTGCTCAAAGCCTGGTAGCAAGTGACAGTTCTTATATGACCTTCGCCTGGTCAGAGTACCCGGACTTGTCCATTTAATCGCAACAAAATGTCTGCTGATCGAACCGCAGTATGTCTCGCACGGCGCTTGACTCTTCAGTGACAAGTTCAGATCGGAAGACGAGGCCTCGAAGTTTCCCTGACCTGGCAGTCATGCAGTCGGGTAGAGCCGTGCAGGATTCCGGGCGACCAGTAGTATGGCTGCGAGGCGCCGTATGAAAAGATGCTACCGGCCGATGTCAGAAGACATGGCTCCTTCGTGCGTCGAACTGGAGTTCCTTTGACGAGCACCTCCTAACTGAGCCACGGACTTGTGCAGGTCACGTAAGTATGTCAGACCCCCATGTCCAACAGAGTTGAACCCTCATCGTCCTTGCACGTCGGCGAGGCAAGTGAAGGATGGTATGGAAGGATCGATGACGAAATAGACGCAGCACGGGCATATGCCTCTCGCATCTTTTGAAGCACCGGAGATCTATAGTCAGACATGGTAAGTTTCGATGAACATGAAAGACTGATAGGCAGACGAATGATCTCACCTCACAAGGGAAGCATCGGTGCCTTGACCCCGCGCTCAGTGGCCACATCGTTGAGGATTCAGAGCCGCTAGATTCCTGTATAGACTTTACCGGCAAGCTGCTTGTCTCACAACAAAACGGCTTTGGAGTGTACACACTCAAAGATCATCATAGGGACCAGTCCTATCGGGTCGTGACTTTGGCATTGACCTGTGGCAAGCACATCGTTGCAGCGGTGTGGTGAGGTAATTACATACGAGTGACAGAAGAGAAGATTGCGCTGCGCAATCTGGACGACTTCTGGGTTCTGAGAGACGTATCCAGTTATGGTGACCTTCCCGAGATCGACCATAACCCCGAACATAAGGGCAGGTCTTGTACGTGTGCGTCTTTGCATGAAGGGGAGCTCCACTCATGGCCTCGAGCCAGTAGCGGCAAAGAACCGGATGCAATCAATGGTCTGATGCTAAGCCATCTGAGAGAAGATGGTCGTAGTAAAAGAGTGCTGGTGGTAGAAGGCAAGGGCTCTGCTCTCTGTGCCGACGCTTGGTCGACGCGAAGGAGCCATCAACAGGGATTGGCCCGATCGGCCCGTCCGCCCGAGAGACCGAAATACAACCACCTTCACTTGCGAGCGACGCTCACCATCTTGAACACCGCGGTGTATCGTACACCCTGTACACCCCGCCTGGCCACGCAATACACATCGTGTCGCTCACATGCTCTGCACACAGACAGGCCCCGCATTATTTCCGCCTTCGAATCGCCACGATGTGGTCCAAGTGATTGTTCCGGGGCTTGCGCAGCGTTCGACCTTCAGTTTCCCTGGCCAGGCTCTCCACTTCAAAGGGCGACTAGCTGCAGAGGTGACCGGACAGACTGACATCTGCTTCAATGGAAGCTAGCCTGACGTGCGTACGTACATGCGACGGGCTACTCATCCCTTGAGCTGTCCGCTGGAGAGCAGTGGAAGCGCGTACGTCCGCGTCATCGAATAACGACCCCCCTCTCTCACTGGACATCCGCGTACCTTCGTCTATATATGAGCATAAGCCAACATGTCTGTCTTTAAGCCCACTTGGACTGAAATAGACCCCGCTCCTTATCCCATCGTATAACTTTACCCCAACAATATGTGCTGTGGCAACGAAGCGTCGGCTGAAGCGGGCACTCACACTTCGCAAAGCGTCTCCGAGACCCTCGTCGCTGGCCCTCTTCCCGATGGTTACTGGGTGCAGGCGTTCCCCTTCTCTACGACGACAAACTCCGACAGGCCCGACATCATCGCCTATGGCCTCGGCTTCAAGGACGCGCCATCCACGGTTCGGCTGTTCACGAACCCTTTGAATGACTCGAGGTGAAGGTCTCTTACTCCTGCCATATTCTACTGTGACTGACGCCTTTTAGACCCTCTGGATGGAAGGTCTCCGAAATCGCCTCTCTCGACTTCCCCGTGGGCATGACATTTGCTGACTTGACTGGAGACGGATTTAACGACGGTGAGTCGTGATCTTGTGGTCTCGTCCTGGAGCGTTTTTCTGAATAGACCTGTAGTAATCATCTGCGATCGCTATGGGCCAAGTATGGACGACGTATGCCGATCCCAATGTCCTGACCTTCACCGTAGTCTTGGTCGCTGATGTCTTTCCGTAGTTATGGAGTGCAGATACTCAGAATGGCGGCCGCGTCCAGTGGCTTAGAAATCCGGGCAAGCGCGCCGGACAGCCATTTTGGCAAGCCAACAAGATAGGAAACTCTACGGGCATGCACAGGTCAGTGCCAACCGTTTCGTGAGCGGTAGCGGGGTCCCTGATCTATCGCGTCTTCTCTATCACAGACTTCAAGGTATGACGAACTTCTCGCGCATGTCGGGACTCTCTAACGATTTCACTACAGCTGGACACTTCACTACGACGGACGTGGTTCAGGTGATGGGTCTGCCCATCATCTCCCAGACCCTCAAGCAGGACCCCGCTCACCAAGTGCCCGCTCCCGTCATCATCTTCACGCCACATTATGGCGAGGATCGATCAAAGGGCCCGTCTAGTTGGAATCATTCTGTTGCATTCCCTTCCCAATTCCGTATGATCCACGATGTGAAACTCCTCCCGCGCAGCAACGGCAACCTGGACATGGTCGTCGTATCGGGTCAGGAAGGCATTGTTCTTCTTTGGTTCGACTTGGCTACCTCTCGGTGGCAATTCAACGTCATTGGTGAAGGGATACCCAAGCCCTCCGGTTATCCCGAATTCCACGAGTTCTTTGGCTGTGGCTCCGTCGACATATGCCGAGTAGGGAACGACGATGTCGGATACATCGCTACGGTCGAGGTTGGTCTCTATTCAGACCCAGTCTTACTCAGCAACTCACGCTATTCTATAGGCGTTTCATGGCCACATAGTGGCGGTGTATGTTAAGAGCCCTGGCGCGCCGAAGGGCCCCTCGTCCTTGAAGAACCGCAAGTACTGGACCCGCCATATCATCGACGATTTTGGGCCGCTCGACAAGAAGACGCTCACTGGCCCCCTTCACCACGTGGCTAAGATAACCGCAGCCGATTCCGATTCCGAAGCATTTGCAGTGGCATGTATGGGCGTTCGTGAGTACCTACAAGTATGAACGTCAGATGGCCGTGATTAACAATCGTCTGTGATACAGCTTCTGGCGATCGTGAGGCGCATACAACTACATTGTGCGCACGAAGACTTACATGAGTTGATAGGCTCGCGCCAAGGCGTATATCTCTATAGGCCAGTCGACCTCGTGAAGTCGACTTTCGAGAAGGTCAAGGTCACTGGCGAATCTGCAGGTCGATTGGCGGTCGCTGGGTACTCTACAGCCGGACGTATGGTACGTTGGCTCACTGGTAACCTGATCGCTGAGCTGACCTGCTCCGTAATATGACCAGGACATTGCCTCTCTGTCATACTATGTTCCTGGCTACTTCACTGGGCCGGACCCACCGCAGCTACGCATCGATGTGCTCGGGAACAAGAACGACCTCTCGCAGATCTACGCGACCAAGCTGGATCAAGAGGTTCTACTTCGCGTCCCTCGCCCGAGTGCGATTCAGCCCGGCGCTGTGGCGAAGCTCCCGTTCTGGACTCTCGCTAGCAGGACCTTGGTTGTCTTCGTTCTGTCTAAGAACGACCGCACCGTCCTTGATTCCTCAATCGCTGCCGTCAAGGTCATATATGGCGAGTGACATTCTTCTCACGGCTGGTTCGTTGCAATATTCATTCACTCCTCTCGATAGGCGAGCTCACTGTCACCAATGCGGACGGCTCCAAGAGCACACACAGTCTTGCGCCGGCACCCAAAACGGCGAAGTCCACCCTGATACAGCCGGGCACGAGCGTCGCGGCCGGAGTTATCGGGGCAGTGTTCATCGGCATAGTGCCAGACAAGAACGCTCTCACGCCTATAACTTCCATGAAGAACGTGCAGTCCGCCAGTGCGATGCCTCATACGGACACCATTCCGCAGGATGTTGCGAGCTCAACGTTCCCTTTCGCTCGTGTCGACAGTTTGCCTTGGGCGAAGGAAGGACCTGATGCCGGGAGTAAGCCCCGAGTTGATGCTTCTCGATATGTCATCGACTGACAACTCTCAATAGAATGGGACGACTTCGAGTTCTACAACGCACTCGGATTCCATGTGTACTTCAACGACGACTCCGTGGAGAAGATCGTGCACATCCAAGCATGGACTTTGGGTCTCGGAGAGACAGCGCGCTTCCGTGAGTATATTTCCATCGCTTTGATAGGACGTCAAGCATTGATAAGAGTATTGCAGACGTTCACAACCAGACTGGGCGCTCTTTCTGCGAGATCCACTACTGCTTGACGAACGGCGGCGGTTCTGCGGGCATGGTACGTCCCGACTGAACTCAGCTACAGATACTATACTGAGAGCGTCTCTCCTGTAGCGTTACTTCCCTGACAGTTTCAGCGGCAAGCCTGACCCGAAGGAGGAGCTTACGAAGGACTACGTCGAGCAGCACAGCGCGCTCGTGAAAGTCCCTGACTACAGTGAGCACGGTCCGCTGTGGATCGTCCAGCCCCATACCACGACGACGCCGCAGCTCCTTCCGAACGGCGCTGTCGACTACCCTTGGCACGCGTGGCTTGCTAGCCAGTTCGGCGACTACAAGCTGCCGATCCTCCCGCCCCTTGACACGGACAAGCAGAAGTTCGACGTGTGGCTCGCGTACGTGGCCCCCTTCTTACTTTCTCGCATCGCCTGTGTCGTTGACGCTCACCTGCCCTTAGGTTCGAGTTCCCCTCGTCGGCGTTCCAATACTAGTCGCTGTGTGCGATGACGCGGAAGGACTTGAATCGTTCAGTGATGTGTTTAGTGGATCATGATGTGTGTGTGAATAGTTCGAAGTGGTAGTTGTTTCTTGAACCATGTGTACTTCTCTCTCCGCGTTTCGTGCGTTCCATTGTACTATCACCAGCCGTTCCGTGATGAGTGACAGCGAGCGCTGCGATTGGCAGAGGCATCAGACGAGGATCTGCTTCCGGTGAAGGTCAATTCTTCTCTTCGGCGGTCGTAATATATCTGATCTCCGTCGCCACTGCGTACGAAAGTATGAGTAGCTTCTACTCGCGCGAGGAAGCGAACATGGTACTGTTGAAGACGCCTTCGATAGCCAGGGAAGATCGAAGTCGGCGCTCGTCCCAGCAGCGCCCACCGGCGCGAACGGGCGAACAGCCGATTGGGACGAAAAATATATGATTGGACAAAGTTCGCGCCATGTATGGAAGAAGCCTCGCTAGCGTGCGCAGCTCAAGGACGATTGATGCGAGCCATGCGGCCCAACGAGCTCGCAACTCGCCCTCTCTCATCGCTTTGAGGGTCGAGCTCGTCGGTCGAGCGGTCAAAGATGCCCGGGTTATATAACAGGGGATCGATATAAGAGGGCCAGGATCGAAGACGGACTCGAGGAGGGGAAGAGGAGGGCGATCGGGACGGCCAAAAGAAGAGTACAATGACACCGGAAGATGGAAATAAGCGGGAGCATGATCCCGCGGGGCCCTGGGCGGAGTGTACCCATCGACGGGGGCTGCGGGTGACAGAGTCCGTGCTTGCCTTCGTACAATACTTTCTCTCTCTATCTCTCTGGGCCTTCCTGTTGTCTGTAACATCCTATCCTTTATACCCATACCCCTCCTTCGGCGGTCGCGATGCAACGAATGTGGAGCACGTATCTGGACGCGCAGCAGGCAGCACAGGCGGTGAGCGCTTGATTTTAATCAGGCAAATTCGCACGGGGATCTTGGACTCTGACGGCCAGGATGCAGCAGGAGTACAGCGAGCTGTGAGTTCTCCGCTCGTTATCGCTTATAATATGTAAACGTCGGTTATTCTGAAACGCTCGCTTGTCACTTGTCAGCGAACACTCTCGGCCCGAGAGCACGCACAGCAGCGTCTATTCCGCGGCGAACAGCACCAGACACATGCTGGCCAAGCCGAACCCGCCCTTCGCTCCCTCCGCCATGGCCAGCTCGAACGGCCCCAACTCGCCCCTCCTCAGGGCTGGCTCCCCGTCATCGGCGTCCCTCACCGTCAACTACCTCCCCTCCAAATTCTCGGATGCGCTAGTCTACAACGGTCTCCGCCGTCGGCAAAAGACTGCCGGCGGCATCCCCGGCGTGCCCAAGCGCGGTGGCGGCACCAATGCCTTCAGGGCGGGCGAGGCACGTGTCGCCGCGGAAGGCGACGAGGACTACGACGGCGTCCAGGGCGGCTGGTTCGGCGGTCAAGCGGGCGCACCCAAGAAGTCCAAGCTGAGCTGGAATCGCTTCAAGTGGATCCTCTTCATCTCAAATATCATCGTGAGTCGCTTTATTAAATTCGTGGATTGGCGCTCGTCGCCGTAGCGGGTATTGGGCGGATGGAATATTTATCTGGATGGATGGGTGGCTGCAATGCGCGCACCGACTGGGAGGCCATCCGTCGCGAGATCCGCATGGGGCACGCCATTTCCGTTCAGAACGGCGGTGCCCGAGGCGCCCGTCGTGATCTCACAGTGCCGCAGCGACAGAGACAACGACCATGAGCGCCTTCCCACGCCCTTCCGGGCATTTCCCGCCGTTTAGACGCTCATCGCTGACGCCATTTCCGCACAGTTCACCGGCTACACCATCGCTGCCCTCATCTTCGCACTGTGCACATGGTTCAACGTCTTCCGCCATGCCGACATTATTCTCGTCGCCAACAAGACTGAGCTCGTACTCTCGACCGTTGCCGCCTCGCTTGGTGTCTTGACCGCCCTGATTGGCTGGGCCGGTATCCTCCTCAACAACCGTGCTTTCCTCGCGGTCTACACCTTCATGCTCTGGATCGTCTTCGCGTTCCTCGTCACGCCCGGCTACCTCACCTACAAGAACAGGAACTTCAACTTGTCCGGGAAGGTCAACCAGCAGTGGTCCCAGATCCTCGGTGTCAGCGGATGGCTGCGGGTGCAGAACCAGCTGCAGTGCTGCGGCTTCTTCTCGCCGTTCGTCGAGGCGGCTATCAGCCAGACTTGCTACTCTCGTAGCGTGCTGCCTGGGTGCAAGGGCCCGCTTATGGACTTCGAGCGGACAATCTTGAGCAGGTGGTACGCGGTCGCGTTCGGCCTCGTACCGGTGCAGATCGGATGCATCGTTGCAGGCTTGCTGTGCTCGAACCATGTCACATACCGCTTTGGTAAGGGCATGACGCCCAAGGCGTACCGCCTTGACATGAGCAGCATGGCTGTCATCATGGACAACTACGCCAAGTATGTCCTATTCTCCTATCACACTCCGCTTCACACGGAGACTGACCACCCTTCACAGCCAACTCGCGGAGCAGTACGGCGCAGAAGTCGCATCCGAGGCTATTGCCCGCTCTCGGTCAAACCTCAACCTCGACTCCCTCCCCACAGTACCTTACTCTCAAGGCCCGCCCGACTCACCTCGTCGCTAGATACCATCATCGCATCTATATCTCCACCTATTCCCCGCACGTAGCATGATTTAGCTCGTAATAGACACTTGGCCCGTCCTCCGCCCGATCGCTGCTGCTTGGCTCTCCTGGTCGTTGACACTTGCCCTCGCATCGTCGCTCGCTTGTGTGTAGTTTACCCACTTTATTTCCTGGAGCGCGTTAAGCGCTGGCCTGTCGTTTCGTGTTGGACATTTATCGATTTGCGTTTCTCTCTGCCTCCATCCGATCGACCACTCTCTGGACGTTTGAGGTAAGTACAACAGAACACATGTGCAACGAAAATGCCAGTACCGAAGATAATAATAGAAGTGCACATGACCGCAAGTTGACGATGACGCGTCTTGACGCGTGTGGCTGCGGCGCGCGGCGAAGTTCCTTCCAAGCGCCCATCTGCGGCCCCGCGCGTATGTAGAGTGAATCGCAGTGACTTGTTTCTGCCCCACCACTACTAGAACACGACAGCGACGCGTGTGCGACGTGTCTTTAACTCTGTGACTTATACCACGCGCTTCTCGCAGCTCTATATGAGGTCCTGAGCGCGATCTACGACTGAGCAACGACCCACGAACTTGACACGAATCCGAACGTGCATTTGTGGCACCAGCATCCTCGGCCTCTACTTCACTCCGCTCTCCTCCCAGCCTACGGCCCATCTAGACCGTCTCAACTGTGTTAACTCTCTGCTCTCATCTACACACTGTATCGATTATAACCAATGGGTCGCGGAAGACGAGGTGGTGCCCCGCGCAAGGGCACGTTCAACCCGGAAGAGGATCCTTCTATCGAGCACCACAAAATTGGGGTCTGGGATCTCTACGTCCAGCGAGACGAAGGCGCAAAGATATTGACAAGTCGCTGGACATGGCTTGAGGATCGCGCGGAACTACTGAACAACTGGAGGTGAGCTGAACCTGAACAAAAACTGTTGCAGAAGGCTCACCCTGCGACTAGGTACCTCTGGCGCGCGATACACGACTTGCGCGCCACCTGTGGACATCTCCTGGTGTTGTATGCGCTTACAATGGCTGTGAACGCCGTCATCCCGGCTGTCACCTTGTGGTATGGTTGTAGCATCCGCGTATGAAGTGTATTGTTCTGACCCATCTGTAGGTTCTCAGGACAGTTGCTAGAGATCGTGAGTAAAAATAGTCCGGTTCGATGAGTTCAGGGCTAATGCGTCTCGCACAGGCAAACACTGCCGTCGAAAAGCGAATGGTCGACAAAGCCGAGCTATTCCGCATAGCATCCGGCCGCGTCGCATGTGCAGTAGCGACACTCGTCGTCAGCCACATCAACAACACCGTCTCCCGACGACTCAACGGGCGCATCAAACGCTTCTACAGCGTCCACACCTTCCACGCCCTCGCGCGTCTTGACGTGCCAACATTCGACGATCCGGTCGTCTCGCGCCAGATAGACTCTGTTCTTCCCGATGGCGGAGCCGGTGGACGACGAACGATCCCTTGGTCGGCTATAAGCTCCGTCGCCAACCTCGGCAGCACACTCATACACGTTCTTTCTCAGTCCGCCGTGCTTGTGGGTGTATTGCGCCGGCAGCGCGACGGGCCGCTGCTTGCGGCCATCGCGGCGTTCAGCCATATCTTCATGATGATGTCCAGCTCGAATGCATGGGGCGGTAGTGTGTATATGCCTCAAACGGGCGTATGGGCGGCTACCACGCGCGACGAGGACTTCTTGAGGATGGAGGGGTACAAGCGCGTCGTGGCTAGCGAGACGCATCGGAAGGAGATGATCGCGAGCGGGTTAACGGAGTACATGACTGAACGTACGTTGCTCTATTCTTGCTATGTGAGAAGCGAGCTAACACAGTCCGGTTAGACTATCGCGAGATGGTACATCGGTTGGGAAGCAAAGCCGGTGACTTCTGGATGCTTCTCCGGGAAGAGTCTGTCAAGCTACGATGGACCAGCATCATTCAGAGCGTTCTGCAACAGCTCCCGCAGGTCGTCTTCACCCTTCGTGCTGCTCAGTATCCGACTTCGATCCCGGTCAGCATGGCGTCGCTCTCGCTCATTCAGCAGTCGAGCAACAGCTTCTTGCGTCAAGTCGAGTCTCTGTTCGACGGTACTGAGAACCTTGGAGGGTCACTTAGTTCGCTGCGCAAGCTATACGAGGCCGATAAGATCCCGAATCGTGTTGTGGACGGCGAGAAACCTTTTCCCGAGGACGCACAGAGCTTACATGCAGGCATCGGCGTTGAGTTCAGGTGAGCCTTAACGCCCGAGTTGACTCTTGATCATACTCTTATGAGTGTCTGTACCAGAAACGTGTCTTTTGCCTATCCGGGGACGGAGAGGATGGTCTTGCAAAACGTGTCCTTCAACATCCTTCCGGGTCAACTCTGTGTGATCGTCGGTGCAAACGGCTCAGGGAAGAGCACGGTGCTCAAGCTCTGCTCGCGCATATACGACCCTACGGAGGGCTCGATCCTCATCGACGGGCACGATATTCGCACACTGAAGCTCAACGACCTGCGACGCGCGATGGCGGTGCTCTTCCAGGACTACACCCACTTCCCGTTGTCCATACGGGACAACATCGCCCTAGGCAGCCCTGAAGACGCACACGACGATACGCGCGTATACGAGGCTGCGCGACTCGCGGGCGCTGAGGACATCATCGAGCGTCAACCCGCCGGATACGGAGAATACCTGAACCGTCCAGTGCGCGACTTCTACAGTGACCTCCCAGAGGGAACAAAGACGTTGTTCGGACGCACGGTCAATCATAACCGCATGCGCCGGGCGGTGGGAGATAAGCCTACGACCTCCACGTTGAGTGGGGGGCAGATGCAGCGGCTGGCTGTTGCGCGAACGTTCATGCGATCGTTGCCGACTGATTTGAAGGAGGACACAAAAGTCGGCTTGTTGCTCTTCGACGAGCCGAGCGCGTCGCTGGATCCAACGGCTGAACATGGTGAGCGCCGTTCTCCCAAACATTGTTACCATAGTTATTGACGTCCTGCAGATCTCTTCGCTCGCCTCCGCGACCTCCGAGGGAACAAAACCATGATCTTTTCCACGCACAGGTTCGGAAACCTGACAAGACACGCGGACGTCATCTTGTAAGCGCCTTCTCTGGGCGTCCGCCCCAATGTTCTCGAGTTTCATACTGACGTTATCGCAGGTACATGAACGACTCAGTCATAGTGGAAGCGGGTACGCATGATGAGTTGCTGAAGCGCGATGGCGAGTACGCTCGTTTGTGGAAGATGCAAGCCCAGGCTTTCCTGTGAGACGTAATATGTACACACAAGAACACCATAACGTCTATGCTACCCCTGTTGGTGTCCCAGTGAACCTCAACCCCAGAACCCGATTTTGCCTCGCGTATGCCACATGTAAGCCATGGGGCGACAGTCAAGTATCGACGCTCGTTCGTACTCACCTCCTTCTCTCATCTCCTACCCTTACCTGCTCTGCGATAACACTTCGTCCCTCCGTCATGGCGAATCAAGCTGGCCAAGAAGACGTGACTACCGTGCGCACTGGTGAGTGCGGACGGCTTACTTTGATTCGAGTGGCGATGAAGTGAGATCCAAGACTACCGACGTGAAGACGCTTTCAAGGACATACCATCGCACGTACCATTCGCCGCGTTTGACGAAGAAGGCCTGTCTTCTTCAATTCCGGTTCAACTACGCACAAACCCAACTCTCAACTTGAAGGCGACGGTATTTCGTGCGGGGACTGAGACATTCGCCCAGCCTCAGGCAGCGAAAGAGATCGAAGAGCACCGGGCCGTGGCAGAGAAGGTCCTTGGGCGCGAAGCTGCTGGGGATTCAGTTCTGGACTTCATCCAGAAGAATAGCAAGGTCGGTAACCATCATTTCCACTAGCACGCACACTTCTGGCTCATGTACGGCCTTAGGTGATCCCGCTTGATCCATGGGCAACACAAACTATGTACAAGACAGGATCCAACAACCCGCTCACCATGGACTATGTCATGCTGCTTGCGCCTAAACTGCAACCGACGACGAAGGATCCCTGCATAGTCAATCATAGCTCTAGACTCGTGATCCCGCTGAAGAGCCTCAACGGCGTAGTGTTGGTGGGTGAATGGTGTGTAGGGTCGCTTCCGCCGGAGCCGGAGGAGGGAAAGGTGCTTCAAATGGCCGAAAAAATGTGCTGGGGATTGTCTGTACGATACACAGCGCCTGTACGATCATGAAGTACTTCATTGTCACTGATGACATGGTGATCAATCGATATGGATCGCACTACACATAGAGGCAACGACGTTGTCTGAAAATCGTGTCTCTGCATAACATACAGAACTTTACTATCCATGTATGCACATACTTTCTGTGTAGCTCTTCAAGAGAGGGGTAAAAGGATCAATGAAAAGTCGTG